AAATAAGGTAAGGCTTAAGTAAATTAATGAAACTGAAGGAAGTTGTGAAGGTTAGTATGTAGGGAAAATCTTTGAAAAGTAGAAACATTCCCACTGTAAATGGGTTTACATTTCAGTTTAAAATTCTATATAATTTTATTTCATCACAAATTCGATCTTCTATTATTAAATTGTAATTAAAATTGAAGACAATAGCTTAAAACTTGAACTTTGTAATCCCATTTCCTTGTATTAACTTGATAAATCTCCAAAATGACTTTTCCATAAAACGATCTGCCATTCCAAGGCCTTTGACTAAGATAACAACTCTCACATTTTCATTTCCCAAATCCGAAATCTTAACTACCAGAGGTCCTTCCTAACATAATACAATTATATAATATAGCAATAAATTCGTGTGCAGTCGTATATAAATTAAAACCGTGAAAAACAAAAGGGTTACGGCTCCGGTCTTTTGTGGCCCAAGAAGAAGTGGCAATGGCAATGGGACACCGAATGGGGCATGGATTTTGGGGGAATGGTACTCAGCCGGGGGCGCCACATAAGCCACAGTCAGGCTGCATAACTCAAGGCGTCTGTGACATTTTTATGGCATCAAATATATATTTTATTTCCCAGTTTGTTCGAACAATGCAAAGGCCTAGGCTAAAAGGGTTAGTTTAAGTTATTATAAGAATTATTAAAAAATATAAAAAAAAATATTTAACAAGAAATATTATTAAAAATAAAGAATATATATATAAAACCCCCTCCTCTTAATTACCTCCGCCACTGCTGGCTAATATATACATTTATTTTCCGGCGCTTTTGGGCATTTTACATTCCGTTTGGGCCCATTCCTCTTGGCCAAATCCCCTGCTCCCCCCGCCGAACCACAATGCAATTAAAACAAAGAGGGAAAAAGGGGCACATTAATCCTTTTTACACAATATCCTGTACGTATGACCGCCAAAATGGATGGCGGGGGTGTTTGACTTGAGTTTTTTTTTTTTCGGAAAGGGGGAAGAGGAAAACATGGGGGTTCCACTGGGCGGCCATTTTCCTTTGCCAGCTGCCATTTTTATGCTCGTTTTGTGAGCCTTTTTTTTATTGTCTGCTCTTCTGCTGGTTTTCATTTTTTTAACCTTCTCCTCTTTTTTGGTTTGTTACTGTTTGGCATTAAAAATGTTTTATGTTGTGTGCGATTTGAGCAACCTACTTTGCACATGCTCAGGGGCGTGGGAGGGTTAAAGGGGAGTCCCACAGATCTCATCGGTGGCGCTTTATTTTGTTATATATATATATATATATTATATATACATACGTTCAGCCAGGATGTGCGCTCGTTTGTTTGCGTAGAAAGGCTTAATTTGTACAGGACTTTGGCTCACACACACATGCGCGGGCTTTTAACGACTCCCAAATCGCATTTGTGTGTGTGTGCGACTTTTGTCTTGGCTTTAACTGTTTTTATGGCGCATTGCGACTTTTTATGGCCTTGTCTTTTGGTACTCTACTCGAAAAGGGGGGTACTTTGGCTGTGGTAAGAGCTTAGGAAGTGCTGGGGAAGACATACATAGAATTAATGAGACTTCTTTACCTATTTAGTTTTTTTTTAATCACATTTAAGAAGTTTTTTCTATAAAATATATATCTTAAGACCAATTTTGTAAGATTATTAACTTTATTTTCAACAATTTCCCTTCTATAAACTCGATAAAAAGAAGAAAAATATTTATTTTGATTTAAAAGACAATTTTTATAGATTTTTAAGAAAGAATTTTCCAACAAAGAGCATTCAAATTCCCTTGCAATGACAACCAACTAAGTTGCTTTGCCTATTCTAATGTGTGTTGCCCCCAAGCCCAGGCCATGCCCCCAAAGAGAGCAGCACCCCTGCCTCTGAAAAGGACGAAAAAAAAGCACACGAAAAGCATAAAGGATAATAATAAAACGGAGCCTTATCGCTGATGCCGATGCTGCTTTGCTTTGCCTTTGCTTTTGCTTTGCTTTACTTCCAGCTCCTGCCCCAGCTCCTGCCCTAGCTCCTGCTCCTGCCCCAGCTCCTGCTCCTCCTCCCGATGATGGCGATGTTGAATGCCGCTCGCTGTTATAATAAAACAAATGGCAGCCCCATTTAATTGCTGGCCATAAATGTGTTTGGTCCTTGTATCCTTTTCGAGGATGCCACCAAGAAACGAGAATGTGTGTGTGTGTGTGTGGTGCGTGTATTACTTTTTATTATTATTAGTATTTAAATTTATTTGTTACTTTATGGCGTGCACGCTGATAAATCTGAGCAAGCTCGTTGGCCTTTTTAATGGCCGGCCATAAAAGGTAAGCCCAGAAGAGCGAGGCCAAACGGGCCAAATTATACAATCAAAGCAAGTTAAAAGTCCATTTAGTATCGCCGATATGACATAATTGAGAGGACAGCTATCTCTCTAACTCTCCCTTTATCTCTAGCCACCACTTCACCCTACAAATCCCAGCATATGCAACAACGATTTGAGGCGATGTCCTGTGGCTTTTGTTTTCACTTCGACAATGCAATTAATGCAATTGCCCAATTGTTTTTCAGGGCACTTGCACTGCAGTGAAGTAGTTGCCCGAAAGGGGAAAACTTTTCAGCAGTTTCACAATTGGCACATTTGGTTTTATTACCCAATTGAGCAACTAATTTGTGGGGAAGTTCCAACCACAAAGGCAAAACAAGTCAATTTGTGGTGTATCTTCTGGTCTGACAACCCCTGCCTGAGTTTGAACATGTAATGGGGGAAGGATCGAGGACTGTCGTGGCTCATTAATGCCTGTCTGCAGCATTTGTTATGATATTTTTATTATTTTTTGTGCTCCCTTGGATTTCAATTTGATTTGTGCGATGATTAATTCATGCTGGGCATAGGCCACACCTACCATCCTCCTGCTGATTCCCATTCCCATTACCAATCTCTGCGATGATAAATGAACCGCAGATCTCCTCCTTCGTCTGTTTGTTTATATATTGATGCTTATCCGCGACATTCCTGCCGCCCAAAGTGTCACTGTTGTCGATCATTTTTATGCTGTGTGCCTTGGGCCAAGTGATTGACAAGCCGGAGTTCGGAGAGTTTGGAGTTTTCGTCCGAAGTTCCAAGTTCCAGGTTCATTTTACATGCAGCGATCATCTCGGTGGGCCCTTGTTTTTTACTTGTCTGCCTTTTATGATCGCTCGTTTTATGGGAGATCGCTCGTTACCATAAAATGTCCATTAATCATTTAATAGAGCCGCGTAATGAACTCACAGTTTTGGCCTGGCCATTGGCATTCTGCCCGGAAAACGAAAAACTTTACCTTTACTCTCGTACTCTACAGTACACTTTTTGCACTTTGTCTGGCTTTGGCACCTAATCCTGGCGCACAACTATGCCGTTTGCATTGTTCCACGCACAATGGACACAAAGGACATGTTTGCACTGATTATCAGATTAGGCCATTGTACGTACAAATTGATATTGTCATGTTTCAAGTGCCAGTTTCCCTGGCTTCCAGACTCGTTCCCTCTCCTTTCCATTCCCTACCAGCCGAAGGCAGTGCAGAACTCATTGAATGCTGTCGCCAGTGCCGATTAAGAGATTTTTATTTTCGCACTCGCCACTCTGCCAACGTCGGAACCGGGCCAAAAACAATGGCCCAGCCAGATTTGCGAAAAATATTTAGGCTCGCCATTCTCCTCCCCCTTGTTTCTGGTTTTTGGTTTTTCGGTTTTGACGAAACAATCGCCGGACAATGAGCCATGAGTGGTTTCTGGTCTAGTTTCTTGGCCAAGAACCGATCATTAGCATAAAGCCACAGCGGCGACGGCAATTCGGTATGGGCGTTGGTTCAGCAAAAACTGCGAGACAGGGATTAAGTCTTCGGAAATGTGCACATCATCCTCGTCGGCAGATCCTTCGCCGGTTGATCTTCGTATCGGACAAGTGATCGCTATCGCAATCTTGACCCGGAAAATCAGAAAACCGCTTCAGGTCATATCAGATTTCTTTGGAAATCATTTGGATCTCAGGATTTGCCTATCAATGCAGCTGAATCGATCGAGGGATTTACTGGCGGCCATTAGCTGTGATCTTTCAGCCAGTCGAACTGTCTGCCAGTGCAGATCTATTTTATGAGATATGCTAATCTTTTTCGCACTTTCAATAGTGGATTTATGGAGTCTTGGATTCATTGTGATAAGTCTTTTTGGCACTTTTCCATCTTGATAAAAAGGAATTCTTCCGCTTAAGGCATCGATTTACAGAGTTTTCCAAAATATTGATAAGAATCTTTTGACAAATGGGGGAACTCACTTGTTCACCTTACAACTTAAGCTCCATTTGTAGATTTTTTATTAGGGAAAACATGAATAATTTTCCTCTACTCGTTTAACCTAAGCTATGTCCGTAATGTGTGAAATCACTTCAAGTCTGGCAACATTTTCACCATTCTTGAATAATTTTGCCACACCCTTCACGTATCCCCGTGGCATTATAGTGGGCCAATCATCAGTTTTGATCACAACATCCTTGAAATAATATATCCCTTTTGGCACCGGACATGGACGTACTTTGACGGGAATGTCCGTATTAACTTTGTACTTTAAAGATGCATCATAGAGGGACCAATGTGATTTCAAAACCTTGCAGACCGGTTGCAAAGGAATCGATAATGGCATCTTCTTATACTCGCCATCGCCAGTGGAATCGAAGTAACTTTCAGCGGAAATTGATAAAAATTCATCATCCAAGTCTTCCTTTAAGAAGACAGTACCATTTGCCCTATGATCTCGTCCCAAAAATCGTATTTGGCTAAAATCCCAATACTCGTCGCCCGATGAGTTTAATGATATGAAATGAGCTTCATAGGTTTTAGGAAATAACATCTGAAAATTAAATATTAATTAATGAAAACATTGTTTATTTATCTTACATAAACATAGCCAATAATTGTTGGAAAAATAAAAAACAGAACCTCCTTCATTGAAAGTTGAGCCATTGCGGACTTTCAATAGTGGATTTATTGAATCTTGGATTCATTGCAATAAAAGGAATCTCTTCTACTTAAGGCATAAGCTTAATGGGTTTCCTAAAATATTGATAAGAATGCGTTGACAAATGAGGGATTTCAACTTACAATATCAACAGGGAAAATTTTAGACTTTCCTTTCTTTCCTTTCTTAGACATTTATTATATTCCTTGTTTAACCTAAGCTATATCCGTAATTTGGCCTACAATTTCAAGAGTGTTAACAACTTCACCACTCTTGAAGAAGTTTCCCACAGCCTTCATATATCCACGTGGCATTACAGTAGGCCAATCATCAGTTTTGATCAGCACATCCTTGAAATAGTATATCCCTTTTGGCACAGGACATGGACGTGTGTTGGCGGGAAAGTCCGTGTTGATTTCGTACTTCAAAGATGCATCTAAGTAGATCCAATATGATTCCATGAACTTGCAGACCGGTTGCAAGGGAGCCGAAAATGGCAAAAGTTTATACTCGCCATCGCCATAGGAATCGATGTAAGTTTCACCGGAAAATGAATAAAGTTCATTTGACAAATCTTCCTTCAATTGGACAGTACCATTGGCCCTATGATCTCGTCCCAAAAATCGAATTTGGCTAAAATCCCAAAGGTCGTCGCCCCATGAGTTTAATGATATGAAATGAGCTTCATAGGTTTTGGAACGAAATAAGGTCTGAAAATTAAATATTAAAAAATTGTTAATAAATTGTTTAAGTAACTTACATAAGCCTTGCCGGTCATTGCTAGTAAAATATAGAGCAGAATCTCCTTCATTGTTCCACATTAATGATATAACTGAAAAGTTAAGGAACTGTTTCGGGTATTTATAGGGCTTACATTGTAAGCATCTATGACATAATATCATGGTTATTAATTTCTGAACATGATTTCCTCATGTAACTAACTACATTGAAAGTTGTTTGTTATTTACTTAATAACATGAAAACATGATCAGAAATGATAACTAATTAACTGTACTAGCCAGGTAACAAGCAAATTTAGTTCCGAAATTTTTATATCATGAGATATTTCAAATATGTGACCCATATTTACGGCTAACCGTTTTGAAATTTGACTCTCTGTCTATCTTATCATATATAGAATAGTCTCTATACCATTTAGTACCATTCGGAGCACCAAAAGTGCTGTGATCTGCAGATATATTTAATGAGATACGCTAATCTTTTTCGCACTCTCAATAGTGGATTTTTGGAATCTTGGATTAAATGTGATAAGTGTTTTTGGCACTTTCCCATCTTCATAAATAGAAACTCTTCCTCTTTAGCTATCTCTTTAGAGGGTTTTCGAAAATATTGTTAAGAATCTTTTGGTAAATAAGGGAACACACTTATTCAGCTTATGACTTACAACATTTATAGTGTTTTTATTAAGGAAAAAATAAAATTAAGCTATGTCCGTAATATGCGAAACAATTTCAATCCTGCCAACAAATTTGGCATTCTTGAACAAGGTGGCTACACCCTTTAAATATCCCCGTGGCATTACCACAGGCCAATCATCAGTTTTGATCAGCACATCCTTAAAATAGTATACGCCCTTTGGCACCGGACATGGACGTATGTGGACGGGAAAGTTAGTGTTAACTTCGTACTTCAAAGTTGCATCAACGTACGACCAATATGATTCCATGGCCCCGCAGATGGGTTGCTGGGGAACCGAAAATGGCAAAAGTTTATACTCGCCATCGCCATTGGAATCGATGTAAGATTCAGCGGAAACTGAATAGAGTTCATTTGACAAATCTTTCTTCAATTCGACAGTGCCGTTTGCTCTATTTTCTCGTCCTAAAAATCGCATTTGACTAAAATCACAAATATCATCGCTCGATGCGTTGAACGATATAAAGCGAGCTTCGTAGGTTTTTGAAGGAAATAAGGTCTGAAAATTCAATATTAAAAATTGTTAATAAATCGTTTTAGTAACTCACATACACCTTGCCGATCAGTGTTAGTAAAATATAGAACAGAACCTCCTTCATTGTTTCACGTTAATGATATAACTATATACTGAAAAGTTGAGGAACTGTTTGGGATATTTATAGGGCTTACATTGTAAGCATCTATGACATAATATCATGGTTATTAATTGCTGTCATGCAACATGATTTCCCCATGTAACTAACTACATTGAAAGTTGTTTGTTATTTACTTAAGTACATGAAAAAATGATCACAAATGATAACTAATTAACAGTACTAACCACGTTTTAAAACAGAGTTTACATCAGAAAATATTTCTAATATGTGGCCCATATTTACGGCTAACCCTTTTGGAATTTGACTCTCCTTCGATCGAATTCTAGCACGATCTCGGCATGGTATCATATATAGAATGGTTTCTATCCCATTTAGTACCATTCGAAGCACCAAAAGTGCCTTTCACAGCCCTTTGTTTGGATGAGATGAGCTCCTAGGCGCCGGGTCATAACTCTTAGCGGCTGTTGCACCTATTTGTTCGTGCCACATACATATATATATATGCTGATGGTACATGGGCAATAAAAATATTGGCCTGCCTTCGCCGGCAGGACAAAGGAATTGCACCATAAAATGCATGCACAATTTCCACACACACACACACACACACCCAGCCGAGGAGCAGGCTAAATCGGGGATATGAAATGGAAAACAAAGCCCTCCAGATCCCCGGGCCCTTTTGTCTTCCAGGTGAAATCCCTTTGAAACTAGTGCAACACTTTTGGCTTATAGACAAAGCCAAAAGCAAACTGCAAACCTCGGATACGAAGGTATGCGGGAACAAGGAGTAGGGGAAGCTGGCCAGGAGAGAGAGATGGCCGGGTCCATTGTCTTCGCAGAAGTCGTTAGTGTGACAGGTTGGATTTGTTTTGTGTACGGTGCCTAAGTCTGTCATCATCATCAGCATAAGACTTGTCTGGCGCCAGCATTAGGGACAATATTTTCGACTAAATATTTCGTCACAGGCTCAGGTAAATTCTATATATATATACATATATGACCGAAAGGATCGGAGGTAAAGGAGGGCGTAGGCCAGGGAAAATCGAACATCTCTGCGGGCGCCTATTTTGGTCGATTTCTATTTGGCCTGCTGCAGTTGCATTGATGATTTATGCGTCGGAATTACAGGTGCAGCAAGTTGCAGGTAGGCTGGCAAGCCATAAAAATATATATTATTAAATGACATTCCAATAGGCAGAACATAAATTTCCTATTTGCTTTGATTTAAACTTTATCTTTTATTTTCTTAGACAAAAATCTAATTCCATTTTCTAATTACAGCCACATTTTCTTAGCTTAAAAGATCTTAAGGCTTATATTTTTGTTTTTTTATGAGGAAAAAGCCCTTCAGTCCTCGTCCAGCAGAAGTACATTAATGGTGTACACTCCCACATTCTGTCCGTCGTAGTAGAAAGTTCCGTTGGCCTGGAAGTAGCCACGTTGCATCAGATTTGGATAGTTTTCCGGGTTGAGGCCAATGTTTTTCATATAGTAAGTACCATTTGGTACGGGACAGACATCCATGTGGATGGGAAAATCGGTTTGGGTTCCATAATCGGCATGGTGAGAAAAATACTTTCGATATTTTTTGTAAATCTGGCAAATTGATCCGTAAGGAACTTGGAAGGGCAGCAGTTTGTAGTTGCCATCGCCCAACGTATCGGAAAATAGTTGGCCAGAAAAGCTCCAGTGCTCGTCATACAGGTCCTCCTTTAGCGTTATGGTTCCGTTTGCCAAATGTTCACGTCCAATTAAACGCACATTGCTGATATCAACAACTCCGGATAAATTTGCTTGACTAATGGACACCAAGTTCATCGAGTACTTCTTGAAACTAACCAACTGATAGATCAACCAAATATTTAGAGTTTAGTCTTTAAATTTTACGATTTTAATAACTTACTGTGCCGATGGCCATTGACAGCATCAAAACTAAGCAAATACTTTCCTTGAACATTTTGGTAATGCTAACTGAACTAATACGGGCCAAACAATTCGTTTTTATAGGCCAGATTTATATAATATAATCATGATTGTTGATTTGTGGCCATGTTGCTCTTCATGTTTAGAACCTAATCCCTTATTAACTAATAAATTAAAACGTGTTTGATAGGGTTTACAAGTAGAAAACCGCAATCCTGTATCACGATGAACTAGGTTATAATTTGTTTAAAAATTAGTTTAACATTGTTTGCTATGTCATAATAACTGTTAGCTTAATCGGTTTTGCCTTTTCAAAGGCAAAAATACAAAGAAAGGTGGCATGAGTCCCGAATCGAAGCTGCAACATATTGAACTGCATCTCCGGATTCGGGCACATGCTCCTTGCTCTATCTTCCTGGCTCCACTTGAACCTCGGGAGCAGTGCATCCCTTACCAGTGCAGTACATTCCTTACCCTCGGAGGTAAAGAAGGGAGTAAGCCAGGAAAAATCGGATATTTCTGCGGGCGCCTATTTTTGTAGAAACTTGCAGGCAGTATCAGGCTGCCCATAGAAATATATATTCTGTAATGAAATTCCAATAAATCCCCTTTTTCATTGATATTTTTCAACTTTTTCATAAATTTTATATTTAAATAATAAATCTTTATTCGTCATCCTCTAGAAGTGCATTGATCGTGTAAGTTCCCACATCTTGACCGTCGTAGTAAAAAGTTCCATTGGCCTGATAATAGCCACGCTGCATCAGAGTAGGATAGTCGTCTCCTCTAAGACCAACGTTTTTCATATAGTAAGAACCCTTTGGAACAGGGCAGACATCCATGTGGGCGGGAAAATCGGTTTGTGTTCCATATTCGGCATGATGGGAAAAGTACTGTCGATATTTTTTAAATGCCTGGCACATCGGTGTGATAGGAATGTAGAAGGGCAGCAGCTTGTAGTGGCCATCGCCAAATGAATCGACAGAAAGCTGCCCCGACAAACTCCAGTGCTCATCATCCATATCCTCGTTTAGAATTACGGTTCCGTTGGCCAAACGTTCACGTCCAATCAAACGCACTTTGCTGGTATCAAAAACTCCGGAAACATTCGTCTGGGAAAAGGACACCAGGGTCATTCTGTACCGCTTGACTCCAACAGGCTAGTTGATATACCAAATAGTCCGAATTAATCCTTGCTTTTCCATCCTTTTTAAGAACTTACCAAGCCATCGACCATTAACAGCATCAAAACTAAGCAAATACCCTCCTTGATCATCTCCGTTTAACAGATTGAACTAACGCGGGGCAAACAGATCGGTTTTATAGGCCAGATTTATATAGTATAATCATTACTGCCTTTCATGTTCCGCCCTTCATGTTTGGAACCTAATCCGCTAATAGTTGATAAATATTACGTTTTTGATAGGGTTTTACAAGGCCTAGTTATTTCCTAATCCGTTTGTCATGATAGTTTAGGTAATAAATCGTTTAAAAAATATTTTATTATTAATTTTTAATGCCATAATAGCTCGTAACTTAATACAGCCTTTACACCCCTTTTTTTTGTAAATGCCAAGAGATTTTAAGGTGCACACGAACTTTATGTGGTGGCATGTGTCTCGGATCGAAGCTGCAACATATTGGCACACTTGAACTGACTCTCCCGATTCGGGCACGTGCTCCTTGCTCCACTTGAACCTCAAGAACCCTGCATCCCTTACCTTTTTCTTCCTGATTCTGTGTTTCTTTTTTCCTAAGTGAACTCCTGCCGGGTGGGCCATGTTGCAAAGTTCCCCTACAACAATTGGTGGTTTTTCTTTCTTTTTTTTTGTTGTGCTGCCAACGAAGTCGCACGCTCTCTATTGGAATTTTCACAATGAGCACACTTGAGATACTTTTTCCTTGCCGGAGACATGCAGAACAAGGGTAGCGGGTGGTGGGTTGTGAACTTTTCGGTTCGCTCGGAACAATGGTTCAAGTGCTGCTTGCAAAACAAAAAGCGTTTTAAGTTTTAATTACGGCAGACACAAAAGACCGCAGGAATGAACAGGAGTTGCCACGACACATGGTGGTCCTTTTCGGGCTGAGAGGTGTGAGCAAAGGATTTCCAGGGATATTCCATTGACTTGCCAGTTATATCGTTAGTAATATTCCAGCCACAATCCACTATCGCACCTTGCATAAGCCATATCGACTGCCAAATCTTGAAAAACCATTTCTCAACTCGGTCCGAATCAATTTTAAACCCCTTGGACCCCCGTCTAGCCATCCCCTCTCGAGTGTGTGCCATCAGCAACTATCTATCGAATAAAGGCAGCCATAGCTTGTCAGTGATTAGATTTCCAAACGCGCTCTTAACAATGCCACCAGAAGCAACAAAGAAAATTATAAGAAATATTTCGAAAAGGTTGGGATTTCTAGTGACTAGAAGGTACCCTATATTTTAGGGGGTTTTAAAGGGTTTTATTGGGAAAGTATATAAAAAGTTAAAAGATTAAAACGAGATGAGAGGAGTTTAGCCAATCTTTCATCTATCAAATGAGTCTGCAAAACGTATCTGTGATTAGAAAACGAAAACATTCCAAGCTTCGAACTTATTATGTTATTAATATATCCAAATATATATTCCTAATACCTATATAAAACCCCAACTATTACCACACGTATCAGGAGCCTTAAAAATTGATGTCTTCGATCTCAAATAACACCATAACTAGGCACTCGCCTAACCCCCATCTAATCCGCTAAGTAAGGGGTATATAAAATTGCTCAATTGCTCAACTGATTAGACTTTGTTTTCAATTTGTCTTTCGGCCGTTCATTGACAGTCAGCGAAGAAGTTTCCCCTCCCTTCCCCACAAAAACAAAGTTGAGACAACATGACAGACACCATAAGAAAGAGAGACAGAGAGACAGACAGCCACACGGTTTTTAATCAAAATTGTACAGGAAATCAAAAATCAGTTTTTGAAGAAAATAAAAATCACAGTTTCTTATCGCGATGTTGATTTGTGTGGTGTGTGGTGTATGGCTGCCGTTTGTTGTTCTCCTCTCTATACCCCAATTGCTTCTTTGGGGCCCATCAGAAAGTACAATTTTTTGTTGGCAGGGCCCTTGGCATGTAATTTTTGAGGAAAGCAGCCCGCCGAAAGCAAACGCAGTAGCTATGAAATCAATTATGCGATAAAGATTTGACAGCACAACGCACTGGGCTGGCTCTGCTGCCGCTGGCAGTCGATAATTAATTTTAACGCTTTATCGCAATTGGAGGTGCGCCCTGAAGGGGTCCCAATATAGAGTTTAAGGTGGGGATCGGGATCCGAAAGATAGTTGCTGCCGATAGTCAACCGATTTGATTGAAGTCTGTCTAAGAGAGGGACCCTCCCCTGCCACCATCTAATCTGTGACACAATTGGAAAAAGAAGTTATGAGTGTGCCTATGAATTTATTAAGGTTTTTCCATTATATATATCTCCCCTATCCCCGCTCTTTATATATATATTCTCAGACAGAGAGAGAGAGATGGTTTCCCATGATATGCAAACGAACTCAATTATTTATTTTATCACAAATGATTTTGCTTATCGAATCTAGCAATCGGCTTCATCTCAGCCAGAAAACCACAATGACGAAGGCCCAGAAGAAGACCTTTCTCGGATACCTTAGCATTCTCCTCCACTCATCTGCTGGCTCTTCAGTTTTTCTTACAATTTCTGGGGTTTCGGTCCTGATTGAGCCCGCCATTATTCAAGGAGCCAAACTCCTTGTCCCTCTCGCACTTCACTCTATACAATAAAAAAAAACCAAAAGAAAACACAAATCGGTTGTCCCTGTCTCGGTGGCATCTTTTTGGCGCTATCTTTGCGTTGAAATCTCCACAGTTCATGTCAAATTTCTTGTGTTTTTATATATCATTCTCTCTCTCTGGGCTGCTTTCCTTGTAAGTATGTAAATGCCGGCTTGGCTGCAGCTGCATTTTGCATGCCCCATGACCATGCCCATGCCCCACCAGATCCCGATCCTCTATACCCCTTTTAGCCAGCTTTGAGTGATTGTCAGGGGTTTATCTTTTGATGGGGAACTGGCTTCTGTTGCCAGAGATATAGTACATGTATCTGTATCTCCAGCGGCGGCGGCGGCGGAGGCTTGTTAATTAAGTTTCAAGCAGGTTTCGTCTGGGCGTTGCTCGAAAGTCAATTTTTAGCACCTATTGACATGCAAAGGACCCGCATGCCACACACACACACATACACTGTTAAACAAGATTAAACACAACCAAAGGGCTTCAGACAAACAAATATAGTAGATACTGATGGGAAAGGTAAGGATTTTTATCCATTTTTAAGATACAAATAATGTAGAATTTCGAAAATGAATAGTTTTAGTCTGTCATTGCTGATTTTTTTTCTATAACCAGTTGGGAATTATAAGCCATAGAACAATTTTCAAGGAAATTAGAAGATTTTTTTGTAATATTTCTGAATAAATGATACTAAATTAGTAAAGAAAATGGAAATTTAATCAGTTCACATGCAAGAAATGCTTAAAATTATATCATAACCTAAAAGTAGTAACAAATATTTGATTATAACTGTCAACATTAGCTTGCAAAACCAACATATATCAAGGTACCACAGCCAAGTTACTTCCCATCTCTAGAAACAGATACTTGTACAAACTGCAATTTGGATTTGGGCCCCAGGAAAGCAAATCAATCAATTCAACACGCAAAGTTGTTGCCGATAATTTCTCTATTTTGACTCCGACCGAGTAGAGGACGAGAACGAGGGGCAATAAATAATAACTCAATACAAATCCCAATTACAGGACGATTGCCACCCGGCTTGCAGGAATCAAGGAGCCAGGAGGACCAAGGATACCAAGGTAGCACAGACCAAGCAACCCTCCTGGGCATGGCCAACTCAAATCCTGGCCGCCTTCGATTGTCCTTTTTGCCAGCCGTGTGTGTGTGTTCCCTTCATTTGATTCGATCAGCGGGGTTTCGCCTCCATCAACCACAAAAAACAACCAAGGCCAAGGACTGACGGCGTCGCCGGAGGGTTTCCCCTGCCAGTCAGTTCACCAGTCGATTTCGGGCTTATCCTGCTAACCGGGACATAAATCGTTGTGTTCTGCTCCCGCTTCTCCCTTATTTAAATTTTCATTTAATTTGTTATTTGTTTACATGAAATACACCGACGTGCGACGACAGCGACGGAGGCGACATATGACAACATTCTCAGCCGGTCACAATTGCCATTGTCTGACTTCGAATTGGTCGGTTGGGAAAGAAGAACACAGACGAGGGGAGTGAGGTTCGGGTCAGGACACTGGTGTGGTCATCTATTGTGACCACACACCTGGACGGTAGAGTGGAGGATGGTTCAGTCGTTGGCCACTGTTTGGCAACAGTCTCTAATTGCTGCATTCAAATGGTGGCTCCCTTGCGTATGAGGGCTCAGACATTTTGGTAAGGGAGCAGCAGTTTGGCAAATTAATTCTTTAGAGACCATAAACCAATTGTTGGTTTTAGCCAGAAACTAGCTCTGTGCTCGGTGTGTGCTGATTCCAGGAATATCCATTTGATCTGTAAAGCCTCCTTTGGACTTTGAGATTTCGCAGCTATTAAGTTATATATTCAACATTTTCCAAGTGAAATTCATTTCTTAAGATATATTTTCTATTAACTCCAAGCCCCATCTTCCGAAGAAAACTATGATTTTGGCCATTAAGCATTCTCGCAGCTCCACAGAGCCACAAACTATTTATGCAAATCAAAACCGAAAAGAAACCCCATTTTGTGTGGGCCCCACCCCGAAAACATTTAACGCAGTTTAAGTTCGTTGGAGCAAAGTAGTTCAGTTCAACGGAGGGCAGAGACCAGAGACCAGACCATACCCATAGATGTATTTGAAAATCTTCCCAACGATAAGGCAGCCAGTGACCATAATAAATACGACATCCAAGCGACGAACGACGACGATCTTCAGCGAATTAGCAGCTTGGGGTTATATAGAGAGTATCTGGACAGCATCTCTAACAAATTAAGTGAACAACAATAAATCAAATGGCTGACGACGAATTTCGAATGAAAAATCAATAAGCAGAAAAATCTATTCGCTGCGAGGGAGTGGTAGGGGGAGGAGGGGGGTCCAATCCTAAATCACAAAACCGAATTCCGTATTGTATTGGAAGTCATTCGAAATCAGAATGGGAATCGAAGATCTCTGGCCAAGAGAGCTGCGTGTTTAACAACAAACAATTAAGATGGCGTCCAAATGATAAGAGGGCCAAAAACCCAAAGACCAGAGAGACAGAAACCCAAAAGGCAGGCAGGGACGGAATT